GTGCATCACCTTGGTATATGCCACATTTGATGGACACTTGGGTAAGTGGCATGCCATTGGCTTCAAGTGGGGTTTTCCACATCCTCATCGAGTTCGCAACGAAGGCTCTTCGGGTCCTGTTCACCTAATACAACTCCAAGCATTCAGTGATCCATGTATGTGGCAGCGAGTCATAGGCTTTCTTGTAATCAATCCAGGCTGTGCACAGTTTGGTATGTCGGCACCTGCAGTCTTGTGCGACTGTTCTGTCAAACAGGAGCTGATGTTTGGCTCCTCTAGTATCTCTACCAATGCCCTTCTGTGCTTCGCTCATGTATTGATCCATGTGTCCACTTATCTTAGCCACAATGATGCCTTACATGAGCTTCCATGTTGTGGAGAGACAGGTTATTGGCCGATAGTTGGATGGGACTGCACCCTTTGAGGGATCCTTCATGATCAGGATCGCGCTCGGAACATATTTCCCAATTCGCCCACATTGAGGAAACGGGAATTCTGGTGTCTCATTAATTTTGTCAAACAAACAAAAAAATAGAGACAAAATTTTTGGAGTAGTCTGCAAAAAACAAAATCCGACTGTAACGGGCTATTAAGACCGTAGAGATGATAATCTGTTGCTCCCCTACCCACTCTTGACAACTTACTTACTGCAAGAACTAAGACGAGGGCTGGCAAAATTGTGTACTTTTGTGTTACGTCATGAATATTTTCCAGTGACCAGAGGCAAATTCCTTGTGTGATTTTTACATCCTTGGCCAATAAAGATGTTTTTGATCGTGATTCTGAAAAAAGTGGGTATGATGAGCCCACATGTGTGGGAAAAGTTGAGCCTTCACCTGACGTGACACCCCTTGTTTAATGTATGGATATTGAGCCCTCTCACTGGGAAGTTTGGGTAAACCCTTTCAGCAGGGAAAGTGTGGCTGTTAAGCCCCTTTCACCGTGAAAAGTGTGAGAGTTGAGCCTGTTCAGTTGAAAAAGTGGGGTGGTTGGGAAGGATTGCCTCAAAAAATCTCTGTTGAACCCTTTCATTGGTAAAGGTTTGTGTGTCTATGTGCAGCCCAGGTTCTTGTTCTCTGCCACCTCGGTGTTACGTAGTCAAACAGCGACATGTTTCGAGTATGCCGCATTACTGTGCAGTCTGCTGCTGGGCGCCAACTACGACGCTTACTGTGTTAGTGGCTATGCTAGCAAGGAGATGTGTCTGCTAGACCAAAGACTGCAAGACTGCCCCCTGCTGGATGCCCAGTCAAAGGTAGTAAAGTCTGGTCAGCATGTGTGCATGATGGGACACCGAGCTCTTGTTGGTGTGGTGCAGGCTGCAGCCTCTGACTTGCCGGCCGACATTGAGCCTGGGTTGAGATTTCAGCGCGAGCCCAAGAGTCGTTTCTTGACGCAACAGGCCAAGAAGAAACAGCAAGAGGCCGAAGCCAAAGCCAAGCAACAGGAGGTAACATGAAAACACATATTAGTGAGACTTAGCTTGTGCGTTTACAACATTTGATCCGAGCAGGAGATTCCGCAGCCACCTGCCGACCCCCTGCAGGGTTTGCGGGTCCACTGTTGGGTACTGGTGTTGGCTGGGTGCCGCAGCATCCAGGAAAACTTCTTTGTTGACCCGCTAACAGGAAGGAGCTACAGCACCACGTCTGTGCATTTTCTGGGCGTCGAGAGTGTGTGGAACAACCTGAACTACTATGTCAACATGCAGGACTGCAAGGACGGCTGTGCTGTAAGTGTCGAAAACCTCTATGACCTGCAAGGATATCCTTTTGAACTGGTGTAAAAAGTCCAAAACAGTTTTCAAACGCCATGATTTTTAATATATCTTTTAAAAGGAAGCACTGGAAAAAGTCCTCAGTCAAGCAAAAGCCATAAAATGTATTTGTCTCTTCATCCATCCAGGCATTGAACTTACAAATGTGCATGATCAAAGAATTGAATGCTGATTTCGTCTGATGGTTGCCAGCTAATTATTAGTAGCTCAACTGCTAGCGTTGATGTTGGCAGGCCTAACTTCTCTTGTCAAAATAGCTTCATCTTCGGAAGTCATGGCTGCCCATCAGCTGCACGTTTAACTGTGCGTTTTGGTCATTTTGTTACAATTTCTTTCTGTTTACTGCTTCTTCTTTTACTTGTTGGGAGATTCTGTTTCCTTCAACTTGCAAACCAAAGTTAGAAGCAGAGATGAAAGTTCTCCGGATTTTCCCGGAATTCCGGGTTTTTTAAATTGTCCTCAATTTTCTTCCGGGAAATTAAAGTGCCGAAAAATTATTCCGGGAATTCGTTGACAACATTGAATGAACACGCGTTTGAGTTCGTTGTTTTGCTTGTAGCGACACCATTCGAGCGAAGCGCGCCACAGCACTCGGTTGGTCTCTGCTGTACGTGCGTCAGCGCGAACATTACGCATGCAAGCGTCGTTTTGGTTTCAACCAATCAGCGCCGACGCAACCAACGTCAGATATCGAAGAAGCTCCGACTACAGCAAACGCAAGCAACGACAACCACCATTCCCCTACATTGGACTTTCGAAATTTCGGCGACAGCGGAAGCCTCAAAGTCCAGATAAATAATTGAATATTGAGTATTTGAGCGCTATATGTAAAGTTATTCGTGCATAATGTTCAAGCAGGTAGACAGACAAGCAGACTTACACGCGATAGACGCGAGTGTGAGGAACACGTTCAAGTGGTCATGGCTCGAAGAAAAGGACGTGAACGGATTTTTTGTCTGACTACATTCGGAAGGTCGACAAACCCGGTAAGTCACTTTGATTCTCTCCTCTTTCACCTCAAAAGGCTTTAAACAACAAAGCGTACGAGGGAGAAGACTGTCCGTGTTTTGCAATGTGCTGTGTTAAAATAAAATAAATTAATTAATTAAGGCGTTTTTCGGCGAATTAATTATACATATATATTTATTTATTTTTCAGGGATTTTCGGCAAAGTCCACTTTCATCTCTGTAGAAGGAAAACCTGGACTCGCACACATTTCTGCCATTTCTGATGGAGTAAATATGCTCAAAGCTAGCAGCAGGTTACCTAAAATCATGATTCTCGATCATATGATCATCAAGCCCCATTTATATTGCCGTTCGGAAGGTATTCACCGTGGTAGGGGGTTGACTGATACTCAGCAAAAACAAAAAACCAAAAACAAACCAAAAAAAAACGTCTCTCTCGGTCTCTCTCTCTCTCTCTCTCTCTCTCTCTCTCTCTCTCTCTCTCTCTCTCTCTCTCTATTTAAGCCAGCGGTCACCAAACCTTTTAGTGGCAATTTTCATGTGAAGACATATTTTGCGGGACCGGCATTGTAGGAACAAATAAAAAATGATGGAAAAAATATCACCAATTCCTATATTAGCTTCAGCGAGCCAAGTCGTATGCCGTATCCTGCTCAGTGCTACGACAGTCACAACACATTGCCATCTCTGATGATTTAAGTACTTATTAGCACATAGTGTCCCTCTCTTACTCTGTGTGGCTCTCCTACCTCTTGCCCTCCGCAACATGATTATCATCTGCTGGTTTTAACTGTCAATCAAACTTGGAAGGAGGAATGTTGTTGGTTGAACTGAGATTTACATGCAACATAATTACGGTAAAATCACGTGACTGATATCGTCCTCATTTCGGTAGTAATATCTTCAATGTTCATGTCTTGATTTGCATTTGATAAAGATACACCACTCAGCCCTCTTGCTGATAAATTGACAAAGTCGACCATGTGCAGCAATGGAGCTTCGGTTTCAGCACCCCTGTTGAAGGAACTACACTCATTTTCTTTTTACTGTCTGGCTCTTGGGGAAGGCAGACGTTTTTCTGCTCTGCTCCTGGTTGTCCTGATTCAAGCCTTGCAGTCAAGCTGGCCAAGTTGTGAAGTCAGGAGTTGGCAAGGAGTTGGGGAAAAGAAATATAAATGCAAAAAAGAAAAGGACAAGAAAAAGGAAAAAGTTGGTCTTGTATCTAGCATCAGATGAGTGGCTGTTGAAATCTCTGGCCCTCTTCAGATGTGCACTGGAGGGAGTTCTGGGAGTCTGGGGTGTCGGCTTCATGACAGTGCATGGGCATAGTTCTAGCCGCCGGCCTGGTCCTTGCAAGGAAAATGTTCAAGGGCCCCAGAGTGAGAGAGTCCAGCTGCGGGCACATGGCAAAAAGAGAGGACAAAAAAGGGCACAGTCCAGAAGAGGCCTGTCGTCATCTCGGGGAAACTTGGGAACCCCCTCCCCAGTCACATAAGTAAGATTTGGACGGGAGTGAAGTTAATAACGGCAACATCTTTGGTAATAACTATTTTGTGTAAAAAAAAAAAAAAAAAAAAAAAAGTTTAGAAACCTAAAAATGTTCCATCAATGAACCACTAATGATTCTGGAGAAAATAACGTGTAATTCAAAGCTGTAACTCTTGTCCAAACTGATTTGATTTGACAATGCAAGTTAAGGCACATAATCACGCAGGAGCACCACCCCATTTGCAAGAACTCGTAAAGTTCTTCTTGAGTTCTTCCTCTTGAGTGTCATGTGACTCTGGAATGCCAGCATCTTGAGATGGGGGCAGATCCTCTTCATCCTTAGAGAGAAACCCATCTCCCCTTTTTAGGCACACCAGTATCATCTTGATGATGATGACAGAAGTTCCTTGAGGCTTGTAAAGATGTTCAAACTGGAGACTGGTGATAATCATGACAGTACATTTGTTTTGAAATGTACAAAACGGTGAAATGTATCTTGCCTGGCCGGGTGCTCGGCACCCCTAAACCTCTGACCCTAGAATCACCACTACCAATGAAGAAATACTACGGTTGTGATTTTGTGGGCGGCACGCAATTCTCGCTGACAGCTCTCATCCATAATGAATGGAAAGGTCACTCTCATTCATTTGGCCGCCGCTCTGAGTCAGCGGCTTGTCGTCTTCGCTCAGCAACGTCCAAATCTCTCCGGGTGCCGCCCAAAGCCGCCAGCCCCAAGGTGGGGTCCACAACTGTCGTGCCGAAGTAGTGGCGAGGCTGCGCTCTGCAGCTGGAGACCTCTCACTGATGTGAATGGATCTGGCGAGCGGCTCATACGTTTGTGGACATTTTTACCCCAAGTTTTGACATTTCATCCATTAATACAAATGAAACTGTAAATAAGGTTCAGTGTTGCTGTAAAACTCCACCGTGTTTATTTTATACATAGAATTTTTATAATGTCCGGCGGGCGGCTCAGTTCCTGTCTCACTCAGTTACATGAGCGAGACAGGAACTGAGCATGTGCCACAGAGTTCCTTGCTACATAGCTATCGGCCGATCAGTTGACAGTGATGACAGGGCCCCACTCATTCCCAGATGGCCTATGTTGTAGAACCATTAATGTGATGGTTCTGAAAACTGCTGTTGCTGTCTGTAACTGCTCGGCATCAAAAAAGTCGAAAGGAAAAGCGACCACTTGGGACCAAGCAAGGCTGTCTCGGTGTGGAGAGGGGGCATGTTTTCGAAGCTGACATTTCTCCGTTCATCAAACAGGAAGTCAACTGCCCTGATTTAATGGAATTGTGTGTCTGTGTGTGTCTTTGCATGTGGGTGTGTGCAGGAGCTGCTATATGACCTGCATGACATCAAATTGTGGGAGCCCGTCCTGTTTGGTGTCATCAGTAAAAGACAACTGAGCATAAACCTCCTCAAGAGGAAAGAGATGAAAATGATGGGCATGACTTGGGTATGTGGTCTGTGTGGGTGTCTGTATTGTGCATGCGTGCATGTATGAGGCAAAAAAAAGATGTCAGAATGTGACATTGAAATACAAGAAAATGGAGACACAAGATTTTCAGAATGTAACACGAAGTACCTTCAGCGTCAAAGAAAAACATTGTGAAGATTTTTGTGTCAAGGAGGAAGAAGAGGAAGAGGAGGCCCGTGTCTTTGAGATGCCAAGATCCTGGGTCACTTCAATTAACATTTCCAAACAAGGTAACCAATGTCTCATCCCTCAAACAGTGCCCAGTGTTTGACAATTTCGACATGTTTTGTTCTTATTGAAAATAAAACACATCATGATGGAGACATCTACATTAACAATGAAGGTTGCTTCATGCAGCAGTAAGCAACCTGGGGATTATTCTGAATTCAAAACCATCAATCCAATCTCACATCAATCCTCCATAAAGTCAGCCTTCTTTCACCTTAAAAACATCTTCAGAGTCTTCTTACACTTCACTGACTCTATTGCCAAGATCCTTATCCACTCACTTCTTGTCTGGACAAGTGCAACTGAGTCCTGCCTAGCAAGGTCATGGACAGGCTCCAATACGTCCAGAACTCCTGCTAGTTCTAACCTGCTTAAAGCCTTACCAGCTTCCGAACTGTCTTCAAATTTATCTGAATGATCGATAGATCCCTGCACACTTGGCCCTACCGTATGGTATATCCCCACCTTTGTTGCTTTCCACACCTCTTCCTGGAAGCTGCCCTCATCCGATGCTGGCCTTTTCCCATCCCCAAAACAGATTTCTCAAATTTTCAGATTGAACAAAGTACCACACATAACAGTTTTCTTGATCAAGTTACATGTTCACGTAGGAACTGTTCCTGTAAATCACCTTAAGAACGCTCTCATCCATGGACGTCTGAAGTCCATGGACCGTTTACTCCTGGAAGTCATTTGAGCATTGTCCCTCAGAGTTGCTGTTTGGAAGTGTACTGTGCGAGGAATGGCTTGCATACTGTATATTAGGGCTGCAATTTAAGATTATTTTATAAATCGATTAATCTGTTGAGGGCGGCACGGTGTTCCAGTGGTTAGCTCAGCCTCACAGTGCAGAGGTCGTGGGTTCGATCCCAGCTCCGGCCTTCCTGTGTGGAGTTTGCATGTTCTCCCCGTACCTGCAAGGGTCTTCTCCGGGTACCCCGGTTTCCGCCCACATTCCAAAAACATGGATAACAGGCCAAAAACATGGATAACAGGTCAATGGAACACTCTAAACCTTGGTGTGCGTGTGAGCGTGTATGGTTGTTCGTTTCCGTGTGCCCTGCGATTGGCTGGCAACCGGTTCAGGATGTCCATCGCCTACTGCCCAAAGACAGCCGGGATAGGCTCCTGCACACGCCGTGACCCTTGTGAGGATAAAGCGGTTCAGATAATGGATGGATGGATTAATCTGTTGAATATTTTGTCAATCGATGAATCGGATTTAAAGTTTTAAGTTTTTAATTCCATCCCTTTTTTCAAAAACAAAACATTATTTCAAATTGACAGTGCAGAAAATGCACAAACTAATGATGATATGTAACAGATTTTGATCCCTAACATGTCCGAAAATAGACAAAAATGTTCAGTAAAGACAGATGTTAATAACTGCCCCATTATGATTCAACACGAACAAACACAGTCTGCTTTCATGCACGACTACAGAAATCTGAGAATATTTATTGTTGTGCGGGTGTGTGTGTGTGTGTGTGTGTGTGTGTGTGTGTGTGTGTGTGTGTGTGTGTGTTAGCGAGTTGTCTTGTTTTCAATAGGATCTCTGCGGAGAACGTGTGGCCAACAGTACACGAGCGTCATAGGCAGTGTCCAAATTCACAGACTGCATCCAGAGAAGGCTGCATTTTCGGCCACATAACGTCACTTTCACCGCGACTCGACAGCACGTGCTTTCCAAATCCGAAAATGATTATTTGCAGACTGGGTCTTTCGGCGCATAAACCATGGGAAACTTGGACATGTTTAATGTGAATTTGGACAGCACATGCAGTCGAGTTCCGATGGAATTTACATCATGCGACCATCGCAGGAAACAGCCTGTGAATTTGGACACACCCATAGAGTTAGAGAGCGAGAGATATCGAGAGAGAGGTGCTTTACAGTGAGTGAGTGTGTAGATATGATACAAATCATGTGAGATGGAAACATGGTATATTTTGTCTATTTTTGTAATGTTTGAGTCAATCTGTGTTTTAGTTTTCACAGTATGTGGCCTGGTCCTTTAGTAGAGTAGTTACAGTGTTTGTGTCGCCAACGCACATGACATACTAGTTAGAAGAAGAAAAAGGAGAAGAAGATCTGTCGGTCCTAAAGTTACAAACAATAATTTTAGTAGTGTTGAACTGTAATTGAAGCAGTGACAAAATGTTATTTCGTGATGACAGTAGTGCAGTTAAAATAACACTGATGGACTGACGTTTACAATTTGGTTCGGCTTAAAATAATAAAGCTTCACATGTTCTCAGTGTTGTTGACGGCAGAGTGCTGTTGGCCACGCCATGAGTTTTTCTCCCCTTCTGCCACGAGCAGTTACAGCTGTGTTATAAATTTGGAACACAGTGGATAAATGAAAGTGATCCACACAAAAGCCTTCATAGCCCAAGTGAGACTCTGCACATGGAATGGATTCATAAATACAGTAAATATTCTCTAGTGCGGACTCGTGTTTGCGCTGTCCAATTTGTCCTGATAACAGAAATTCCTCATTTGGGAAATGAGCATGGTACATGTCCTTTATGAACCTGCAAGTATGTTGACAAAATGCACGTGTAACAACACAATCAATAAAATACAAAAATATAATGTCCAAAAACTGTTTATATAACAAAAACTGCAATACAGGTGTATCCAAAAAAAATCACAACAGTAAAATACGTACAGTATTTTAATGTTTATTTTTTTCTGTCTTGGGAAAAAAATGTGTCTACCGGTATTTTGGATTGTTTTGGTGGATGCATTCTTTGGTTTATGACAATGTTTGCCTGCGTGTCATACAGTTTTCTTGCTAGTTGCAAGTAACTGTCCCGTTGATCACCGATGTCTGGTAATTTTTGTGCATACTGACGGATTTTTGTTGCCATTTGCATTGCTTCCTCGCTGGATGGTGGCTTGTCATCAGGAGTTGAATCGATGCCTTGTTTTTTTAAAGTTTCGTAGATTTGCGTCTTTCCGACTCCAAGTGTCTGCTGGATGTTTTTAACTTTGTGTCCAGCCTCGCTCAAACGGATGCATTTCACTCGCTCCGCTCCAGTCATTACAGTTCTTCTACGTTTCGATGCCATGATCTACACGATGTAAGTGAATAAAGTTAAAATCTTTCGCAATTGCAGTAAAACGCACGCCAATAAGTGCCGCGTTCTACCGGACGTTAAGTGAATAAAGTTAAAATCATTCACAATTACAGTAAAACGCACGGCAATAAAAACTCACTTACACGTCGTCGTTTCGAATCTGATGATCGAAAAACGCGAAGTGAAAATGTGTCTCAGCGTCATGTCTTTCCGTAGCATCGGGTGGGCGTTGCGTGTATTTAAGCTCCCGCGGCATGACGTCTCAATCCGGGTTACAGGTAGTGGAATTTCCGCTTACGTAAGTTCCGGTAACATGTAATATCGTAGTCAAAATGTTAATGCATAGGTTTTTGTTTCGGGTGAAGGAAATTCCTTTTCATAGAATTCCGGGGATGGGAATATTTACTGGATGATCCTGTCTTCAGTCATTTTAATTCAAGTTAAACCAAGCTCATATTTCCACTCCTCTGACTTGCGTGTCAGCGAAACTTTATCGAATAAATCCTGCACTCATGAAACTTTTTAAAAATTGAAACATGACACAGGTGTCATGACATCTTTAGTGAACTGGTGGTCTTTTAAGGAAATGAAATTAGCCTTCCTACAGAAATTTGAAGGTGTACTGTTTGTTCCTTTTGGGATGGAGGCCTGTTCCGTATTTGTTTTCATGTGACAAAAGTCAATCATGGCACGCTGCAGCGAAGTGTTGCGTGTCATTACGTTGTAATGCTTTGTTTTTGTGTTCAGACTTGGAGACTCGTTGGCCAGGAGGCAGGAAGTTGACTCGCTACAAGAAAGCAGAACTGGAGAGGTTTGCACCTTCCCTACGATTGGACGGTCTGGTAACCCGACTGAGCATCTACAAGGACCTGGACTGTGTGTGCATACACGCAAAGTGCATGTGTGATGATGCCATCACTTGTGTGTCTAGTGTAAGTGTGTGTGCGTGACTTTGTGTGTGTATGTTTTTTTCAGGTACAGAGGTTTTGACAGTCAAGGAGTGGTACCAGGACAGAAATGACCACCTAAGTGAGCGAGAAGTCAACAAACTGACAGGCATCACCACTGAGCGCTTTATACCTGGACGACATTTTCACCTCTTATGTAAGTTCTTACATCTCACACACACACGACCATCACGTGATCTTTTACCACTGTGCGACTTCTGAGAGAATCAAGCAGAGGCAGACAATCAACTCAACTGTATTTATAGAGCACTTTCAAACAAACACCGCCGAATACAAAGTGCTGTAAATGGGGCAAAAAGAACTCATACAACAACAAACAATAAAACAATAAATTAAAGGAAAGAGGTATAGGACTCTTCTCTGCAAATTAAACCGGTATAAAAACTCATTCATACCGCAGGCTATCATTTTAATCAAACAATTAGAGGGAGGCAGACAGACAAGCGGAAGGACATGAGTGTGGTGGGGGCGAGGGGGTGCATATGACTGTAATGTAGTGTCCAATGTGTGTAGAGCAGTGGTGGCCAACCCGCGGCTCACGAGCCGCATGCGGCTCTTTGGCTGGTTCAGTGCGGCTCCCAGGCTCTCACACGACAAGCATCGAAAACGCCTCGGCAGCAGCAATGCCATTCAAACAAGGCGCCAACTTCACAGAACATACTCCGTCAGCCTATCATCAATCCTGTTACTTGATTGACATAGAGGGCAACCAATCAGATGACTGCATCACCGCTCATGCGCAAACAACGGCACTGAGTGCTAAGCTAGTCAGCCAATTACCTCTGACTTTAAGGCAGGGGTGCCCACTACGTCGATCAGAATTGACCGGGAGCCAGCGAACTGGTCCCAAGTCAACCGCAAGGGGTGGGAGGAGGAAATGCGTGGGGAAAAAAAAGATTTGTTTGTTTGTATCTTGAGCTTTCATTCATTTTTGGCCCGTTCCGACTGTTGCTCATCGTGGTGTGCGTGCATATGTGCACGAGTGCACTGGTGGGCACCTGCATGAGTGCGTGCGAGCGTGTGTGTGTGTGTGTGTGTGTGTGTGTGTGCGCGCGTATGCTTGCACGTGTGCGATTGGGTCGTTCGTGAGAAGTTGGTCGCTTCAAAAGTCGATCTTTAGCCAAAAAAGTGTGTGTGTGTGTGTGTGTGTGTGTGTGCTGGCACATGTGCGATCGGGTCGTTCGTAAGAAGTTGGTCGCTTCAAAAGTCGATCTTTAGCCAAAAAAGTGTGTGTGTGTGTGTGTGTGTGTGTGTGTGTGCGCGCGCACGCGTGCGCGAGGAAGGGTATGATGTGGCTCTTTGCAGTAACTCAGTCAAAAAATTGGTTCTTTGTCTCTGACTGGTTGGCCACCCCTGGTGTAGAGTGCATACTATCTTGTCTTGCATGTAATTGTCCTAATTATGTTGTGCTGTGTATGTGTATGTTTTTTGCCCAATGTATGTAGCAGCACAGAGGGACTGTCCTCCGAGACAAGTTTCTCCTGTGGGAGACCTAATAAAAAGTCAAATCAAATCAAATCTAAAAACAAAGACAGTAGAAAACACAAAAACAGTTCAACTAAAAATCAAGTCTCATGCTGAGTCAAAAGTCAAAGAATAAAAATTAGTTTTAAGATGCGTTTTAAGGATGGGCTGCAAGACAATAGCTGCTGAATCTCAATTCCTCAAATCGTGTGCACGTGAATGTGTAGGCCTGGGGGTGTGCAATTTTACTAAATACCTCATGATATCTCTGACTGTATTTCAATTAGTCCGAAATAGTCCACATACTGTCATGTTAATCCCTGATTCATATCATTTTGTAAGACAACTTGGACTGTACCTTAACTAGTGCCGAATATCTAACATATTCTTATCACAATTTAAAAAAAAAAAATCCATTCCATAACGCTATCAATTTTAAACGTATGCGTGATTGTGTGTGGGTCTAGGGGAGTGCAATGTATTTATATATTTTTTATATTTTTATATTTCGTGACGCACTTGGGAGTGGAGGCTCCTGCAGAATTTCGTTGTAACAAGTGTGCAATGACAATAAAGTATTCATTCATATATTAAAGGTAAGGCACTCAGTTATTTCAGAATTGTTTTCTAACATGGTCATTAAATTTAATTAAATGGTTGCCCCTGCTGGAATAGTTGGGTGTGACAGCAAGTGCTCGTCAGCCAGTGGCGGTCATTAACGCACTGAAAGTTCGGTTCGCGCATGCGCAGTTATACTATGCATTCTAAAACGGTCACCTGTGTTAGGGTTTGTATGTGACCCCAATCGTATGACAACAGACTGGAATGGTGTTAGCCAAAACTTGACCTTGTTTAGTACAGCCTTTGCAAGGTCGACTCAGGGAAAACTGGGACTTAAAGTTCAGGGAGAAGCACGAGGAATCCACAAGGAAGTGTCTGTACAGGAAACGGAAACTTCAGGAGATGCCAACAGAGCTCACTGCAGGTGGTTATTGCACGAACTTGCACTGAGAACTGGTTTTGGAGCCAACTTTTACCAGGCCAAATGAACTGACAGGTGGGTGATGAGCTGGCGAGCCTCATATGTGAGTTGCAGAGCACCCTGGCTGAGAAGGCTGCTTGGCTGGCCCCTCCCTAACAACCTGTGACCCTTGAACTACACTGTATGAGTATAAGTTCTGGTGTCAACAGAGGTTCATCTCCTACAGAATGTTTTTGTGTAAACATGAGGATTCCTAGTGAGAGGGTGCTGTTGGCGGTCATTCTGGATTCATAGAACCATCGTTACAATTGTAACTTTTGTTCTATATACAAATTTCCCCAGTGTGGGACAAATAAAGGTTATCTTATCTTATACCATAGGTGTCAAACTCAGGTCGTGGAGGGCCGCTGTCCTGCATGTTTCCCAAGTCTCCCTGTTGCAGCACACCTGATTCAAATGATCAGATCATCAGCAAGCTCTGCGGAAGCCTGACATTGAACCTGTTCATTTGAATCAGGTGTGTTGCAACAGGGAGCACTTGGAAAACATGCAGGACAGCGGCCCTCCTGGATCTGAGTTTGACACCTATGTCTTATACGTTCTATTACAGCCCTACTTGACAGGGTTTGAAGAAAGACCGGCTGGTAAGTGCATCCCAAAAACGCAAACTCAGATAAATAACGAAAACAAAAAGATACTTATTATAGAAAAGCGAAAGACTGACAAAGTAGTAACAGAAATCACTGTGGCGACAAAAACCCAGGTAAATGTGTCAGATTCCGCTTACCCGCAGGACTGAATCGAAAAATTGTCCTGATTGGCTCTCCTCGAACGGGTCGAAACCCCACTTTATCCCCCACCTGCGGCAACTCTGAATCACAGGGAGACTGGGATTCTTACAAGCCGATTTTGAGAAAGACACGCCTCGGTTCCTAACCGTCTTTAATTTTACGAAGCCAATCTGGGCTACCTTCATTTATCTTATCGCCAATGAATCACCGTTGCAGATTTCAAGATTAATAAATAACCACTTCGTTTTGACGACGGCCCTCTCTCGTTTCGTCTGGTGCTGTTGTTAAGGACCCAGGCAATTTAATAATCCTGGTTTAGGATCATACGGATTTGTTTGTATTTTATGCTGGAGTAAAACATTTTAATGAATTGTTTAATAGATGGATAACACGACCCGATGTTAATGAGGTCATAGCCGTTCATTCAGTGAAGGAGGTTGAGTGGTACACGAATTAAATCCTGAAATGACTGAGGTCGATGATAATGCATTTTGTAAGATTTATTAAAATGAGTCATTCTGATAATATTCATTAATCAACAGTAAAACCCGCAAAACGCAAGAAATCCACAGTAATCATGAACATCACAAAATCATTGCGGTGATTATGTACCTTAAAATCCAATTGATTGGATGATAAAACCAAATAAAGTAAAAGATAAAAAGTGAATGTGACAGAAAGGTAATAAAATGATTATATGAGATTAAATAATAGTCTCTTGATGAGCCTGGAGGTTGATAGCGCCTAACACAGCCATTTTCTGAATATTAAAAAAATCGGAGATTGTGTCTAATTATTAAGGACCAGAAAATTAAATAGAATTTAAGTCATTCGGTTAGTTTTTTTCTTACAAGAATAGGTTCTTAATTTTCTTACCGAAGTAAGGGTTTGTAGTATCCTAGTCTGTATGGAATCTACACAGCATCAAGAAAAAAATCCTCCTTCTAAAGGAAAGAAAAAAAGAATAAAAAGCAAGAATCTGTACTTGCTCTTGGTCGTTCTCTCAGTTGGGACAAAAATTAGAAAACGGAAAAAAGTAAGACTCTGTGCTTGGTCTGCTGGAGTGCTGGGCAGAGTCTTTCTCTCAGCTGGCCCTGAAAGACAATGCATTGTTGTTTTTTGGGTTTTTTTACCTTGCCTCAAGTCAAGACGTGGAATCAAACTGAGGAGGCGCAATTGGAACTGGAATCATCCATCCAGCCATCCATCCATTTTCTGATCCGCTTCATCCTCACAAGGGTCGCGGGGCATTCTGGGGCATATTCCAGCCGTCTTCGAGCAGTAGGCGGGGGACACCCTGAACCGGTTGCCAGCCAACCGCAGTGGAACTGGAATCATTCAAATTTAAATGATGCCCAAACCTAGTAATACGTTTAAAAGGGGAAAAAGACTTGAGCATAAAAAGTCTCTCTCTTCTGCCCAGTCTGCCTCTCTTCTTTCTCTACATTTGATTGTCCTTTTCATTTTGTGTACAACTCCACTTCCAATTGACATAAGTTGTAACACTGTGAAGGTCCAGGAGAGGTGGAAATAGCAGTGGATCCAAGAGCGGATGGGGAGCAGGATAATTGTAGGATCACTTGGTCCGGGGGTGAAGGAGCAGCGGCAGGCTGGGCAGGGAGGCACTAGGAAGAAACGAGCAAGAGTAAGAAGTTGTACACCAAACAAGGGCAAGCATGTGCGCGAACAAAAGGCCTAGAAACCACTCGTAGGTCACGAATCATCTGGCACCCACTTGCAGATCAGCAGAGGTCTTATACACAGGTGGTGATTGCTGATCAGCTGCAGGTGTGGGAGCACCTAGGTCCAGCCTGAAAAATAGAGAAAGGACACAAAGTCCCAGGAAGTGGACTATCAAAATAAATGAGGAAGCCATAATACAAAACCCTAAGGAGTATCGTTTGACAGCACATCACAAACACACCACTAACTTTGTTTTCAGTTCACAGATTCACATCCGCTCAAACAGATGGCGTTGAGCACGAAATGGAATTCAGTGGCGCTCGTGTGGACGGGCTCGTGCGGCGCGTGGATACACCGGAGGAAATGACTGAGAACTTTAAAGGCCGTGAGGACTTCCTCTACTACAGACAAGTCATCTTCGATAGCGACATCCAGTTGCCAGAGGAAAGCACCGGCTCAGAGCCAGAAGAGAGACCTCTCCTGGTAACCCACTTCGAATGACATACAAGATACAGTCATAGTGTATATTGAACTTCCACTGTAGTTGGTTTGTCAATGAGTCAGTTACTTGGTGAGTCAGTTGACTGGTTTGGAAGTTAACAATAATAATAATAAAATAATAATAATAATTAAAAAAATAATAATCATATTAATAGGGCGGCCTGGTGGTCCAGTGGTTAGCGCGTCGACCTCGCAATGCAGAGATCTCTGGCCTCCCTGTGTGGAGTTTTTATGTTCTCCCCGGGCCTGCGTGGCTTTTCTCCGGGTACTCCGGTTTCCTCCCACATTCCGAAAACATGCATGGCAGGCTGATTGAACACTGTAAATCACAGATGTCAAAGTCAAGGCCCGCGGGCCGGATGTGCCCGAGAAGGTTTTCTATGGCCCCTGGGCTGATGTTGATTTATTGTTAGAACCGGCCCGCAGACCGCAGCAAGCCGGCAGCCCGCAGATCTTTTACATGCCCCAATACTACATTTCCCACAATGCAACGGTGACACACCAAGCAGTCGGCCACTTCGGTTCAATATTTATTGTTGTAGTAGTCGTTAGCGTAACAGTAAAGCTAACTTTCAGATAGCCATCAAAAATGGCAAAACGGAAGGTGGACACTGAGAACCGGGGGTTTCAAACAGGGTGGGAGTCAGAGTACATGTTCACGGAGGTAGCTGGAAAACTTGTGTGTCTTCTGTGCGGAGAAAATGTGGCCTTATTGAAAGAGTATAATCTGAGACGACATCATGAAACGAAACACGCGGACAAAAACAAGAATATGGACATGGAACAAAGGCTACAGAAGGTTGAGGAATTAAAGCGAAGCATCAAATCTCAACAGGCTCTGTTCAAAAAAGCCAAATCACACACTTTTATTTTAGCAAAAGAGATCGCTAAATCAGCCCGGCCACTTACGGAGGGGGATTTCATCAAAAACTCTATGCTTGAAGTTTGTGACGAAGTTTGCCCAGAAAAAAAGCAACTCTTTTTAAACATGAGCATGAGCAGAAACACCATTGCGAGTAGAGCAGTTGTACCATTCATCAAACAGCAGCTTATGAAAAGGGGAAAAGATGTCATCGCATATTCCTATGTTGTGAATGAGAGCACTGACGTTTGTGACGTTGCCTAGTTGTCAATTTTCATCAGCGGAGTGGACTGCAGCCTAAGCGTGACAGAGGAGTTTTTGGCTTTACGTCCTATGCATGACACAACTACAGTGCATGAAAAATATACAGCAGTGGGTGCTGTGCAGTTTGCCCGTTTCCTCCCCGACACAATGGCCCAGCTGCGTATCCAGGCTGCTCAAATGTTGTCGATGTTTGCCAGCACATACCTGCGTGAACAACTATTTTCTTTGATGAAGCTGAACAACACATCACACAGAAGTCGACTTACTGCTGAACACCTTCACTCAATTTTGAGGATTTCCTCTGCTCAGAGCCTGACCCCAAATATTGATGAACTTGTAGAAAAGATGAGACACCACCAAGTATCAGCCTCAGCCCCAAAGAAGTGAACATTACTGTGAAATCACATATGAAGAGTTTTTGCTCAGTTTAAATTTAAAAATTAAAGTTGATTTTTTTTTTCACTGCACGTTACTTCTCCTAGAAGAAAGTGTTTTGGTTAATAGACTTTTGCACTTTATTTTATTGTATTTCAATCCAATTATATTTTTAAAGTATTTTATTTGAGTGAATGATGACTTTTTTTTTTTTTCCTTAGAAGTAAATTTAGCCCACTTTTGCGAAAAGAAAAATGTGGGCTATTGATGGTGCCTTGAATAACACCGGCTTCTTTCATTTAATGTTCATTTTATGGAGATTTTTATAGAAAGGAAATTTATCTTTAGTGCCTGTTGAAAATTAAAGATGACTGACAGAGCCATCAGAAAACGTTGCTTTATTTATCTGATCATCTTGGAATATATTTGTTAGGTGGTCAGTAGGTTCAATTTGGTTCACTAAACTACATGAGGTGATTTAAAACTGTTTCAATGAACATTCGATCAGTCCGGCCCTTGGCTTGGAGCAAATTTTTTTATTTGGCCCTCCGTCCATATGACTTTGTGACACCCCTGCTCTAAATTGTCACTGGGTGTGAGTGTGAGCGCGGATGGTTGTTTGTCTCTGTGTGCCCTGTGATTGGCTGGCAACCGATTCAGGGTGTCCCCCGCCTACTGTTCGAAGACCACGGGGATAGGCTCCAGCACCTCCCGCGACCCTAATGAGGATAAAGTGGTTCGGAAAAATGAATGAATAACAATAGACGAGAGCTGTAAGCAAAGATAGAGGGCTGTTGCAAGCCTGGCAGCGTTGGGGTTCTTGCACGTTGGGCTACTGGCACATAAGACAAGAAGTCAATAAAATCCAAAAGCTTTGTCCAGGCCTGATGTGTGTTGTGATGTGAAGTTTCATGAGTATGGGCCCAGGTTTAAAACTAAAAATAATTCAGCATTACTTTTCTTTGAAAACGGCGACTCTCCACGGCAACAGTGTGCAACCAAACAAAAAGCTTTCGTTAACTTTTCATCTTGAACATGTTTAGATGAAACACAAAAATTCGAAGAGGATCGAATACATGCAGATATTCGGGTCACATACTGCATGATAGGTAAGGAATTGTCTCTGTCTTCTAACTTTCCCTTTAGAACGATCGTGATGCAGGGTACAAAGCTGTCATTCGGACCATTTCTATCGCTGGAAAGTTATTTTTGAATTTATTTAGGGGGTGTCATTTGATACTCCTTATATGGAACACCATCTACTGAGACACATCAGTGAATTTTTTGCTGAATGCGGGCAGCGAGGAGCTAATTTCCTGAGCCCAACACTGCCAGCAAAATACAAATAGTCTGAATAAATGTGTTGTTTTGTTCAGGTGGCGTGAGTGAAGTGATCTGAGGCAGCGTAACACTCAGCGAATCAATCGCCAACGTGACATACTGTACAACCATAATATTGTAATATGGAAACGTTTCTCGATTTAAAAGTGGCATCCATCCATCCACCCATCTAATTTCGAATCCGCTTATCCTCACGAGGCCACGGGTGTGTTGGAGCCTATCCCAGCTGTCTTTCGGGCAGTCGGCGGGAGACACCCTAAACCGGTTGCTAGCCAATCGCAGGGCACACAGAGACGAACAACCTTCCGCGCTCACACTCACGCCTCGGGACAATTTAGAGCAGGGGTCCCCAACCTCCGGGTCGCGGACCAGTACCGGTCCGGCCCGCACAGAAAGAATAAATAACTTACATTCCTTCCTTTTTATTAATTTCGGAATCTGAAAGATGTTTTATTTTGAAAAATTACCGGATTCTCTGTTATATCAGTCTACAGCAGGGGTGTAGGGTCCTGGAGTGCTGCTGTCCTGCATGTTTTCCAAGTCTCCCTGTTGCAACACACCTGATTTAAATGATCGGATCAGCAAGCTCTGTGGAAGCCAGACATTGAACCTGTTCATTTGAATCAGGTGTGTTGTAACAGGGAGACTTGGAAAACATGCAGGACAGCGGCCCTCCAGGACCTAAGTTTGACATCCCTGTACAGTATGTCACTCTTGACGCAGTTGAATTCGCGCTTCTCGCTCACGTGATAGGAAATGAAACCCAGGAGCTAGCAAAATGAATAAAAAACAAACGTCTTTGAAAAGTTTTTTCGGGAAGGGGAAAAGGCCCAGACAGGAGACAGAAGAGGAGCCTCTGACTTTCAAGAAAGAGAAGGCGACATTTCATAGACAGGATCAGGAATCCAATTTCAAATACAGCTTTATCTGAACGGGAGATTCACACGCACCAAGCCTCCTCTGCATAATAAGCGGCGATGGTGAGTCGTATTTTTAATGCACTTTTTATTTGCGGCGTATCTTATTTTGAAGGCACGTTTAAATGTTACCATAGCGGCCAGAGAATGTTGCGGCCAGATAGGACCTTCCTCGTGTCATGATTCATGTTTATTATTATGTTTCGAAAATACCACACTTTTCATGCAGGTCATATCATATTATATTGTTGTAGCTATCTGGCCTTAAAGGCCGGTCCCTGAAAATATAGTCTGACATGAAACAGGTCCGTGGGGCAAAAAAGGTTGGGGACCTCTGATTTAGAATATTCCATTAACTTGCCATGCATGTTTTTGGAATGTGGGAGGAAATCGGAGTACCCGGACAAAACTCACGCAGGCACAGGGAGAACATGCAAACTCCCAACAGGAAGCCCGGAGGCTGAATCGAACCCTCCACCTCTGCACTGTTTGGCCGATGTGCTTTTCGGGCTGATCACATGTCGTGTCTCTCATTAGTTTTACAGTCCGATACGTTGCTAACCGCACTTAGCCTCTGTGTGTTCCCTATTGGTTTCAAGATATTAACAAATGAATGCGAATGTGAATAACTGTGTTCAAGAAATGGACAATGTGAGTGTGTGTGTGCGTGTGTGTGTGTGTGTGTGTGTGTGTGTGTGTGTGTGTGTGTGTGTGTGTGTGTGTGTGTGTGTGTGTGTGTGTGTGTGTGTGTGTACAGCAAGTGTTGGAGCGTTTCCACAGAAATCCAAATAAGGATGCGAATGACGATGTTGCTGAGCGAGTGTTTGTGGCTTCGCAAAGAAGGATAGAGGTGAAATACCATCTGGAGGAGCAGCGCTTCGTGCCGTGCAGGAGGACCTTCATCAAGCCGCGAGAGTCAAAGGACCAGCAACACAAGGCCGAGGACTTCAGGGCTGACATGGTTTCCGGCTTCCACGTACGCTTGCCCAACCTAGTGTGTTTGTCAGTCAGCACTTAGAAGTGGAGCACGGTGACATTGTTTTTGTTTATTTAGGTGGATCCTGCCCAAAAGCCCCTCAACACACTGGCTCTCTACGACCTTCTCTCAGACCTTGTCAAAGCTGAGAAGGACGTGGCTCTCCAGATCAAGAGCTCCAAGAAAGAGGTGAGAGCACATTATTTGTCTTCAACATTTCTTCATGTTCTCCATCACCATCACATGACCACATGACATTCGTATCTGTGTGTGTGTGTGTGTGTGTGTGTGTGTGTGTGTGTGTGTGTGTGTGTGTGTGTGTGAGAAGTCCGCCTCCGGGTTCGATTCCGCCTTCGGGCTTCCTGTGTGGAGTTTGCATGTTCTACCCGTGCCTGCGTGGGTTTTGACTGGGTACTCCGTTTTCCTCTGACATTTCACAAACATGCATGGCAGGTTAATGAAGTACCATAAATTCTGGGCTACAGACCGCACTTAATTAAGAGCCGCATGCTCAGATTTATGAAGAAAAAACAATTTTGTAATTATATGTGCCGCAACATATTATAAACCGCTGGCCAATGAGTAGGCGGGGGTTTGCTTCTGCGTCCCTGCCGCCTGAGCACCTCCGGGTGAGCCCGCGGACGCGGTCCCCCGCTGAACCCCCGCAGAAAAAAAAGCAACAATTTCTTAAGGTTAAAATAATCTCCATATTTTTATGAGCATGATAAATGCATTTGCACAACGAAATTACACTGAAACACATAATAAGAGGCCAGACAAAGAGAGATCTTGATGCGCATTTGCGTAAATACGAGGAGAAATACTGCAGCCCACTAGGCTTTAAATAGAATAATGCAAATCATATAAATGGGAAAAGATATCTGAAATTATTTCTCTCGTCAGCCGCTTAAAAATGATCATCGGTGGCAGCTTTAGGCCCGATGCTGCGCAGCTCAAAACACAGCTAAAATGTGTTCTCTCGTGGCCGCTTGTTTTTAGTATGACGGAGGAGCCCCCATTTTTTATTAACAGTCCGAGTGAGAGGCAAATCAAATGTGCATGGGTCTTTTTAGTTGTCTTTTTACACTGGCTCAGTTCTTCTTGCCGGAGCCTCCACCTTCGCACCATCGACTCGTCTATGCCAAGATTACGGGCAGCAGCTCGATTTCCTTCTTTAACTGCCAGAGTGATCGCTTTTAGTTTAAAAGCTGCATCATATGCTTTTCATCTGGTATTTTCCATGTTGATCAGGGTTAGAAGAAAGACTGAAATAAGGAAGTTGTGATTACCGGTAATCATACAATTTCATTGGACCCCTGTGTACTACTCATTCATTTTATTGGTCGACTGTTGCCAGGTAACACATTTTTCCCCGCTACCGCGAGAAGAGCGGAAGTTGTGATTAGTCATACAATCTCATTGGACCTCAGTGAACTACTCATTCATTTTATTGGTCCATGTTTTTCCCGCGATGGAAAAAAAATAATTAAAAAGCCGCTTCATATTACACGCCGCAGTGTTGAAAGTGTGGAAAAAAAGTAGCGGCTTGTAATCCGGAATTTACGGTACTCCCTAAATGTAATTGTGAGCGCGAATGTCTGTTCGTCTATGTGTGCTCACCGATTCGCTGGCAACCAGTTCAGGGTGTCCCCTGGCCCACTGCCCGATAAAGGCTGGGATAGGCTCCAGCATGCCCACGACCCTTGTGAGGATAAGCGGATTAGGAAATGGTTGGATGGATAGATGGATGGGAGAAGCAGCGGTAGTAGCAGTACATGTGGGCCATGGCCTACGCCAGTGGTCCCCAAACTTTTTCCTGTGAGGGCCGCATAACCTTTCACTTTGTGATGGCAGGCCGGGGTCATTTTGTAACAGAAAAAGTGTGACTGCAAGAGTACTTAAATGTAAAAATGTATTGTTTTCCAGAAACCCACACAAAATCAAATATCCTTTTCTGGATTTTTCACAGAACAAAAATCAGGAAATACATAATAAGACTATTAACGAAATAAATAATAACTAAACAACCCTCCACGGATTCTTCACAGAAAAAAAGCCAGGAAATAAATTACACCATTTATGAAATAAATAATAGTCAAACTTTGCTCTGATGAAGTTAATGCATGCCACCACAACCTTCATGACAGAATTTTAAGTCATTACTTTGCAGCACAGTGCTTGCTGGTGTATTCGGCAGTGAATTTGAATCCCCGTTCATCTCCCACTTCATGCGTCCTATTAGACCCCCGAGACACGCCCACCATACTCGGAGCCTCGTCAGTTGTGTTGCTGGCTAGCTTTGACCAGTCCAGGTCTAACTCTTCCAGAGTTTGGTGCACTCTGCCGAAAATATCCCTCCCCGTCGTAATCCCTTTGAGACTTTGGAGGGCTGCCAACTCCTCGCACATCTCAAAGTTTGCGCTAACTCCACGAATAAAAAATAGCAGTTGCGCTGTGTCCTGCACATCCGTGATCTCATCCAGTGCGAATGAAAATAATTCTTTCGTCTTCTGCTGCAACTGGGCATATACATTACCCGCGATTTCTTCAATACGTCTGGTGATTGTACTCGCCGAAAGACTCATGCTATTCAAGACATCTTTCTTCTCGGGACACACCTACTCCGCGACAGCATTCATGCATTTCTTGACTAACTCTCCTTACCGCTGCTTGCTATCAGTTGAGCAACACGAAAGCTTTTTCGAACAGATGACTGGCTCAGCTAAGCTTGGCGTACAAATGTATTTTGCTGAGCTAACATTCCACTTTTTAGTTTTGATAGTTTGCTCGCAATTGTCCTTGCAGGCTCTCGTATTTGTCGTTGTGACGGGATTCATAGTGTCTCCGCAGATTGTATTCTTTGAATCTCGCCACTGCCTCCTGACAAATGAGACAGCCAGCGTTTTCTTTGCATTGAAAAAAAAATAAAATAAAAAAATAATTTGTTCACTTTGTATTAAATTCTATGCATTCCGAATCGGGTTTAGGATTTTTTTTCTGGGGTTGGCAGATAACGACACAGACTGCAGAAAGGTGCAACAAATGTCATGTTATAGTATATGTGTTTATGAAATAGTTACTAATTAATAGTTAATAATGAAAAGAGTTCAGAACTAAGGAACATTTTATTGCAAAAGCCCAACTTTATTATCAAATAAAAATCCACATCGATGAAAAATAAATCAAAGTATTCTCCGGTATTGTTCAGGGGGGCCGAACCAAATGCAGAAGCGGGCCGGATTCGGCCCGCGGGCCGTAGTTTGGCGACCACTGGACTACTCATGGAGGCCCTTCAGAGAATTTCAGACAGTCAATTTTCATTGCACCTTGGCACTGCTAATGTAAAGGATATGCAGTTTGTCTCAAGTCTGTTGGCCCTCTGGGGGCCTATGCTCGCTCGGGGGCCCCAAAGAAATTACCTGTCTTGCCTAATGGGAAGCTACGCCTCCAGGGAACGGAAAGAGTTTCCATATAGATTCATTGTAGTCCACTCAAGCAACTCAGCTGTATTCACCACCACGAACTAAGACCTGAGCCTGGCGGGTGTGTTTCTGTCAGTCCGCAGTGAAAACGGGGGTCTCTTAATGACGGATTGACAGGTCTGTGCTGAAAGTTCATCCAGTCTCTGTCATGTATGTTTTATTGCAAGGGTGTCAAACTCATTTTTGTTGCGGGCCAGATTTTAATTACAGTTTCCCTTGGAGGGCCGTTGCGACTGAGACCATACAAAGAAGTCAAGAATAACGGTTTATTCATCTATTGTTTAAGTTACTGTAATGAGGGGTTTGGTAACAAGAAAATGCTTAAAGTGTCACTTATTTATTGCAAATGAGAATTAGAAATTTTGGATTTTAGTAACCATCATGAAAGTTGACATCTTTGATTTGCTTTTGCAGGCCACATAAAGTGATGTGGTAGGCCAGATCTGGCCCCCGGGCCTTGAGTTTGAGACCTTGGTTTATTGCATTATTTGTGTGGAAATTCGTAAATGAAGTGTTTTTCTTGTCCAGTGAATATTATTTTTCAGGTTCATGAGTTTTTGGTGAGGTTTTACAACTGTATGTTTTCTCACAGTGTGTTGTCAGGGTTCTGTTCTTCCTCTGATGTGTGGAAATGTTAGTATGTCTTTATTTTTGGTGTTGACTTATTGTTTGTGTTCCACTTTACTCTTTTTTTTTCCATTCTGTTCATTTTGTCTGGCTTGTTGCTTTCTTTTGTTAATGCGCCATCTGAGATATTGGCAGAGTGTGAGAGTGTATTGTATGAGTGTATTGTATGCTGGTTTGGTTGTGGCATGTTCTGACTACTGAGAGGTTGGGTGCTGTGGAAGTTTGTGAAGTATAGAGGAGGTACTACTCATTATGCGTGGGGTTTGATGTGATTTTAACACTGCTGTTTTCATTGTGGCTTATTAATAAATCCAAGAAAGATATGGTTCGGTTTGTTTCCCCTTTGTGTGTAAATTAAAACCTGTACTGTCTACTGTGTATTATTCAGAGGATCTGTGAGTTATTGTGTGGGTCCAGTCTTTATTTCAAACATGTCATCTATGAATAGTTAGTTATGTATAGTGTAGTTTACATGACGAGGGTCCGGTTTGAATGGCTTTGTTTTCTGAAGTCCTCCATCAGAATCAGAATCAGAATCATCTTTATTGGCCAAGTATGTAGAACACACAAGGAATTTGTCTCCGGTATAACACGCTGCATTAGTATCATCATAAACAAGGACATGACAAATAGGTATGGAAGGAGATTTCGTAATGTAAGTGAACCGTAGTGCGGTGGTACCACCCAGTGACAACTGTGAGACAATGTGCAAAGTATCAAGCAGAGCTAAAGTGATCAGTGGTAGAATACAATACTATGACAGTTGTACAGTTGGTGCAGAAAATCATTGAACCATTTTAGAGTGACCAGTAGCAGTATTTGTTTTACAAGAAGAGTGACTACGTCAGTGACTGTTTAGGGAGTTAATGGCTAAAGGGAAGAAGCTGTTTAAGTGTCTGCTGGATTTGGTGCGCATGGATCTGTAGCACCTGCCTGAGGGGAGTAGCTGGAAAAGGTGTTGGGCAGGGTGCGGGGGATCCAGGAGGATTTTCCGTGCCCTTGTTTTGATTCTTGCAGTGTGCAAGTCCTCAAGAGTGGGTAAGGCGGTGCCAATGATTTTTTTCCGCCGTCCTAACTGTC